AAAATAAACTGATATAACTACATGAATATAAATGTATTTTTATATACACACATACCCTATGTTCTTACTTTAAAGCTATTTAAGGGGGAAACTAGTATCTAAATGCCATCATCCAAGAGAAAGGCAAAATGAAATGTCAAGTTTAAGAAACTATGCAATTAACACGGTCTCAAAAAGATTCTTAAGAATTTCCCATAGAGGAAAACCCCAGGAAGAGAAAGAAATCAAAAGTTATTCTCTCCAGTGAGTAAAAATAGAGCATATTCATTCCCCTAATCTCTTCTAAACTTCTACAGCAGTAATCATAGAAACAATGAATTTATACTGTGACAAAGACTAAAACGTGGCTTTTATTTTAAAGTAATTTCCTCTTGTCTAAATCATTAACTTATTGCCAAACATAAATTAGTTCTTCAAAGAAAAATTTCTGTTCAACTCAGAGGCAAAAATACTCAGCCTAAAACCAAAAATAATCATAATTCCTGAAACCATAAACGATAAAAACTGAATATATTCAAAGACTTGGAAAAAATTATCAATACCAATCAGTACTATAAATAGCTTCTTTCAAGAAAATATTAATAAATTTCCCAAATGCTAGATAACATGAGAGCTGGTAACTTACTTCATGGTTACAGAGGGTTTTTGCAAGCTGTTTCCGCTCCTGGGCATAGTACGCAGCCTGCTGGTAATAGAAACCAGGATTCTGCGTTTGAATAGCTGTTAACCCTAACTTAATAGCTTCATCAAATAAATCTCCAAAGGCCTGGAATCTTAAAGAAAAACATCAAGAAATAAAAAAGAATGAATAGAAAAAGCAAAGAAAAAGAAGCTTACTTCTAATAATTATTCATCCTGGGGAAACATAACTTCAGCAGACTATACTACATGCTATTGATCAACAGTTAATATTTGTTGTAATTTCTTTGTAAATATTAACGTACAATAATTCTGTATTTAAGTCATCTCTTCTGTGCTAACAAGTCTTTATAAATATACCATCAAACTAGATCTCAACATAGTTCCCACCACTCCAATACGACCAGGTTTCTGGGAACAACTGTATTTTAGCAATTTTTAAGCATCAGTATCAAACAGCTCCATGAAAGCAGGAATTTTCTTTTGCTTACTGCTATATTCTCAGAACCTAGACACATGGTGGAAACTCAATAAATATATGGTGAATGAAAAAGACGGCACTACGAATTAACTGATTTCCATTAAAGGACTGTACGAACCAATACATACTATTACCAGAAACATACCAGGTAATTAAAAACCTGCTTACTGATAAAAAACTGGGTTCAGTTTTAGAACCAAAGCCCATGCTGATTCCATTTCTGCAAATCCCATGTATCATTTTTAAAAAATATTCTAAAAGTACAATTTAAAACATACTGTTTAGACATCCATGCAGCATGCTCAAAGGACAACTCCGCACTTCCAATTTTTTTCTTACACAAGTCAATGTGTTTTCGGAACTGAGCAATTGCATCCAATGGAGTGTTGTGTTGAAAACACAGCCTACAGATCTGCAAAATGTAAAATCAATCCCAAATAAAGAAAAATATCAAAGTCAAAAAGCATATTCATTTAAAAATAAGTTTGAGGGTAACTTTTTAAAAAGACTATGGAATTTCCTTCATTGAAGTTCTTTGTAATAGACTTTCTTCATCAAAATGGTTAAGCTAAAACCAGAGGCTATATCCCTTTTAGAAATGAAATAAAGTAACTCAGTATTTGGACTGAATTTATTTTATACGTTAGAAAAACTTTTCAAATACATAGAATTTTTTTTTTCTTCTTTTTTTGAGACAGGGTCTTGATCTGCTCCCCAGGCTGCAGTACAGTGGCACGATCATACTTCCCTGTAGCCTTGAACTCCTGGGCCCAAGTGACTCGCCTCAGCTTCCCAAGTAACTGGGACTAGAGGTGTGCACGACCACATCCAGCTAATTTTTTAAATTTTTTGGAGAGACAGGGTCTCACTATGTTGCCCAGGTTGGTCTTAACTCCTGGCCTCAAGTGATCCGTCTGCCTCAGGTTCCCAAAGTGCTGGGATTACAGGTGTGAGCCACTGTGCCTGGCCTGAATTTTAAAAACTATTCCCAATGAAGAACATAAAGATAGGCTGAAATAAACTAGCTCCAATAAGAAAGTGAGAGAGGATAAATTAACTTTCAGTTTTACATCTGTCAGAAAGCTAAAGATTCTCTGTAGCACAATTAAAGCAATTATACCTCCACATCAAACAAGAATTACAGAAATTCTCAAATTTTTTGTCTGGGATGCTATTTCAAAATAGTAATAACCTGTATGTATTTGGTAGTATTCCATGGTATATATAAAAAACATGTATTTCGGGTAAAAGGAAAAAGGAAGAAACAAAGCCTAAATTTACCCCCATATGCTTGTTATAATTTTTTATTTTATTTTTTAAGTACAAAAGAATACATGAAAAGTCTCTCATCCATCCCTGTACCTCAGCCATCCAATTTCTCTTTCCAAAGGCAACCAGTTTCTAGCATATGCTTCCAGATATAGTCTATATACAAGTATGTGTACATTTATATATAAACTATTGTTTTTATACAAATAGCATCACACTGAATATGCTAATTTGTGCCTTACTTTTTTGACCTAACAATGTATCTTGAATATCATTCCACATCAATATATCGAGCTGCCTCATTCTTAATTGCTGTATAACGTTCCATTGTTTAGAGTTATACTTTATGTAACCAATCACTTAATCCTGGGTTGTTTCCAATCTTTTCCTATTAAAAGATATAATAAATATCCATATATATGTGACTTTCAAGGGTTAGCATATATGTCAGACAAATTTCCTGAAATGGAATTGCTAGATCAAAGGGAACATCTACTTTAAATTTATACAGTCATTGCAAAAATATTTTCTACTGAAGTCGCACCAATTTACACTCACACCAGCAGTGAATGAAAGTATCTATCTGCCCACATATCATCAACACAGGGCCAGATATCTTTAAGATGAATGTGGAAAAATTAAAAGCAAAACAAATAGTCCTCGCTTGCCGTCTGAGGGCATCTATTTCTACTACATACAATCTAAAAATAAAATGTTCCAACAATGGATAAAAAAATTCCCTCTAAGGTGAAGAGATACACATTTTCTTCACTGTATCAATATTAAACCAAGAAAGTTCTAATGTGTTGCATCTTTTAAAATTCAATAATCCAGGCAGCTTTCCCTTGCTCTCACTTATAAACAAAAAAACCAATAAACCAATAAACAAAAACCAAAAACCCCTCCCAACTCTAAATAACTCCAGAATGATCAACTCAAAAACCAACCATTACAACTAGGCTGCTAAGAACCAAGTCCCTTTTTGAGAAAAAGAATATAAAAGCGGAGAGCATAATTAATCCAATACCAACTTTTCAGGGTAAGAAACCAATTTTCATTTTCAAATTTTAAAAGGATTATTTAATATTTAAAGACAAATTCCCTTTATTTGGAAGTAGAACTATTACCTTGTAGTTTATAAATCCTGCCATAGTCTTAATTTCCAGAATATTAGTTTCATGGGCTCTCAATTCATGTACAAGATTATAGGCGGTCCTATAATTCCTAATATAAACATGGGGAGGATGGTTAATTATGATATAATTTAAGAAAACATTTCTAAGAACAAAATCATTAGAAATAACAGACAATATTTATTTAATATTCCTTAGCATTCAACAGCTCAATAATAGCATATACATATCAATCTCCGATTTCCTGAAAAAGGATCTATTAACTAATAACATATGTGGGAGGAATCAATGACTTTTCACGAAGAACAGAACTATCATTCGTACATTGTTCTTCCTGTCATTAACATCTATCAATAACCAATAAAAAACAAGTTGAAAAATAAAAGTAAATTGGATAATTGTCCAGAATTACAGCGAAAAATTAGCATTCTGTTTAAAAAGTAAGTTTTTTTTTTGAGAGACAGGGTCTTGTTCTCTCACGAAAAGTGCTACTGTAAGTTTCTCAAACAAATAGAAACTGTATTAGCAAAGGTGGTATCAAGACAGAGCATGGCTCAACTACTTTTTAACCCCAAGTATGTCTACAGGTTAAGAGCATCACTGATCTCAGGTAGAAGCTGGAGAGGAGGGAAAAGCGTCCTTAGGGCAGTGAGGGCTAAAGGAGGATGGCGGTGAGAAAGGAGGGTCTGGGAGGAACTGGGCCTACTCTAGACATGGAAGGGAATGAGAAAATCTCAAAATGGGCTTTTCCATAGAAAAAACTTTGCTCTTAACTTCTCCAGGTAAACTTATTTCTTTCAAGAATTATTTTTGAACACAACTGAAATTGAAGGTTTCTAACTATTAATAATACCATCCCTTTAAATGAACTACATTAAAGCCAGTTATAATTATATGAAGTCTCTGAGATTCAGAGAACACAATTTGATGCTTAGCACTTCAACAATAATAAAAATAAGATGTTTCTGCAATATTCCTGTGGCTAATAATTTCCATTTACTTCTATTTTTCTCCCCTCCTCAATTTTAGGTTAAATAGCTGTATTTTATCCCCTTGTCAAATTGCCACTGTCAAACTTCAAAAATTGATTTAAAGGTATAATATGAAGAGGTCATGTTAAATTAGGCTTGGTAAAAACAAAGGAATAAAATGTTTAACTACTGCCAACACATCTGCAACTCATCTTCAAGGCTCTATGTATAACAGATCCTTCAAATGGAAAATGATGCTATTAACAGGCATTACAAACTAAAAAAAAAAAAATTAAAAAGAAAATCATAGTTGAATTGAATAAATGTACTACTGTATAAACTCTAAAAAATCAGTAGTCTGATTTAGATAATATTTAACGTACATTATACTTTGGAAATCAGTCTTTTAACACAGGGTTTTACTGAGTATACAAATAAAAAATAGTCAAGAAGATGGGGAAAATTTTAATATTATATTTCTTTAGATCATAAAATTTAATTAGTTAGACCAGAAAGCTTTATGACACTATGAAATTTACTTCCAATAATAAAATGAAAAAAATTTTTAAACCCCAAAATAATATAATCCATTCATCTCTGAACTAAAGTAAATATTAAATAGCTGAATCTGACTAACATAAGCATTTAAAAATTAATGACAATTTGGTTGAGATTCAGATATTGCCATTTATGTTGTTAACATAAAGATAAGAAAAATTTAGTTTGAAAACTGTTAAAAACTTACTTCAGAGCATTTTGTGTATCTTGTTTCAACTCACTGAAGAAAGCTATTTTGAACTGATGTCTAACAAATAAAAGCTGAAAAATGGATAGAAAAAAATTACCATTATACATATTCTATTTAAAATGTGAAAATTATAATAATGTTTATTACAAGGAGACTATAAAAGAATGAAAAATATTCAAAATTAAAATGCAAGAATTATTCCAACAAGCAAGGGTACAGTTAAGCAAGCCATAAAAATCTACCTTTAAGAACTTTAAGGGCAAAGAGTTTAAAAATAAACCTTAAGGGTAAGGAGTTTAATTTAAAAACAAATTAGTTTTTAAAAGCTTTAAAAAAAACTTTAGAAGAACTGAAGCCATTTGAAACCATCAAGGCATTAACGACATGTAATAACTGCTTCAAAAATAATCAGTAAGTAATCTGCTCTCGAGTGCTTTCTATTATTGCAAAAAACATGTACCTGGTGTGTTGTTTTATTCAAAAATTCTTTATGAGATTTCACTCTTCTGATCTCAGTGTAGTAATAAGTCTGTGCATGTTCATAAAAGGCATTTTCTAATCTATTAAAAAACAAAACCAACATTCGAATATTAAAGTGATTTTAAACCAAACTGTTTTCAAGAATCATATTAGTGAGATTTGAAAGTACAATCCTGACAAAGTCTATTTTACCTTATGATTAAGATGAAAAGTGAAGCAAAATATAACCCAAATTTCTAGATAAAAAGTCTAAAACTAAGACCCCCCCAAAAGCCATTTAAGATTATTTACAAGATATAACAGATAAAAATAACTTTTTCTAATTTGTAAAAATTGGTAATCTCTAAGATTACTTTCACTTCTACTATTTCATACTTTTATAAAGAGTCTGAAAAAAATAAATATTCAATACTCAATTGTATTTCACTATTTTTGGTGATTTTAATATTTAGGGCTTAAAAATATAAGAAAACTTATGAGGAAAGAACCAAAAACAAAAACTGGCAAAAATGAAGTAAAAATAACATTTGTATGATTTAAATCCTACTTCATTCCATAACATTGAGATTACACAGAAACAAAGAAAATCTGACCAGACGACTAAATAATTCAAACTTTCTTTGGTGAAAAGAAGTCACATCAGGAGTATTTGCCTAGGGCATAAAAGAAAGCTGAATTCATAGCCAGGTAAAAGATAAAGAAAAAAAACCTTTTTTTTTCTCCTCAGAATAAAACAGAATTTTGGACCTATATTCAAAGGGTTTACATACACTTAAGGAAAATACATAAAGGAAAACAAAAAGAAAATAGAATGTATTTAACTAAAAATTTTTTAAATCAGATATATTTTAAATTGGATTTTCTAGGTGAAACTTTTTCTATTTTCAACACTATAATTTAAAAAATGTTAAAATATGAAAATAATTAAAATTAGATTCTAACATTGAACTGAACAACGTTTGGAGGAACATATTAACCTAACCTGTTCTTTAAAGTTTTACAAATGGGTAACAATAAGGCACTGACTAGAATGTTCAATGTTATGGTTGCCTGAAATATGTCTGCAGGTTATTCTGAATTATTAAAAAAAAAAAAACAAAAGCAAAAAATCCTTCTCGACAGAGAAATCAGTATTATTGATCTATATTATCTTGGGAAGTATCAAAGATAAGCTTGGTTTTAGTTTTTAAGCTAGATGTGTACTCAGACATAAAACACCTGTTAAGCAGTTAATATAGAAAATAGAAAGCAAGTAGGCCTGATAAGTCCCATTATTTCCCCTAAACTTAAGTGATACAGAATCAAATCTTTCACTGTTTAAATATAACAAATTAGTTAAAGGGACATCCCTGGATGTAGGGAAAGTATCATAAGACTGTCACTTTTTAATTCACACACTTCTATATTATTTGACTTTTTTTTTTTGAGAAAAAAATGTACACTGTTTCAAAAACATAAATAAATAACAGATCTAGTCAGCATGTGAGGGGGTTAGTGAAAAGACCAATTCTTTTAGCAGATATTCAAAAATTATACTTTTAAGGTAACGTCAAACAATTGAGAAAGCTCTTTTGGGGAAACAGACCTTGAATTTTCTTTGTTCCTACAACAGAAAATCCAACTGATTCCCATTTAGTGATTTAACCTAGATGAATTTTAAATGTACATGCTTTTTTATGATGTTCCTTTGCTCCCAAATAACCACTACTTCCTTCCCACTAATCTAAACCTCCAAGCACAGATGCAAGGCCTTCCTCTTCCTTAAAGCCTTACCAGGCCACAATTATCCATTTGTTGTCTGGAGACTTGCTCCTGTAAGATTCACAAACTGTATTACACAATTCACACTTGCAATGGTCTGTGGTATTTAACATGGATGTTTTCGGTCTCAACAATTAAACTAGTTCCTTTATGGAGGCAGGAACTTAATTAACTTGTTTTGAACCAGACAAAATGCACACATACACACACAGTTATGTATATTTTATTACTTGACCTGTTTCAAAATACAACTTATCCTACCAGATAATTTAGAATGAAAATTTGATTGCAAGCAACTCCCTATTCCAGCTAATTACCAGAAGATACATGATGTTCACTCTTAGCAAAATTCATACCAAAATCACCTGGAGTCCATTTTCTGCTACGTTACGGCTACACTAGCATGTCAAGTAAGCACACTTTTTAGGATATACAAACATATTATCTTAGTCACTGCAACTGAATTTTGAGAAGCCAGCATTCACTCCAGGCAACAGAGCTACCAGTTTTCCAATGAAGAACATTCAAGCTTCCAAGCTATAGATGTAGATTAAAGTCTAAAAGGAAAGAGGTGTTCCTGAAGTTTGGAAACTATGTAATACACAAGAACATTCACACAACTTCGAGGGACATAGGGAGGAACTACTGTATACCTGAAAGGAAGTTATAGCTGAAGGTAGATCCTTTGCTAAAGGTTGAAAATAAAGGAGTAAAAAGAGCCAAAGCAGAAGCAGCAGGCATGTGGGAGTCCTTACATCCTTTTTCCTTTTCACCTACAGCCTTTTCAGTAAAGGCAGACAGGAGGGAGAGTCAAATAGTGCTTCTATATCGTCCCACCCACCAAAATGCTTACAGCAGTTTTGATTTTTAATTTACGGAAAGGCAAAGATCAGAGACTCAAAACCTAACTGCACAGATTAGATATATTTGTATATGCTGTTTTGTATTTTTAATGAGTTCAGACCCATTGAAACTCTTTATTTAAAATAGTTTTAAACTAAAAAATTGCTTATTTTCAGGAGCCCTTTTCAAGCATGTTCTCTTTACAGCACACCTTCTCTGAGAAGCATGTTTTCTTAACTCATTAAAATGCTACTTTTGTTTTGAAAGGCAAAGTATGTGTGTGGTTTTTTTTAACATTTGCAAGTTAACATGACACTGACAGCCTACTGTCCTAAGAGGAAAGGTTTGAAAATTCAGAACACTTATCATTTTATAAAAGAAAAATGCTTAATACACCATTAATTGAAATGAACAATTAACCTCTGTAATACAAAAGATTTTCACAATCATTTTCAATGCATTACAGAAGTTTTATAAACATTTTAACATTTTGACACTTTAAAAAAATTAATCAAAGCACTGTAGCATTACATAATACATCAAAATGCTCTGAATGCACACAAATAAGGATGCCACCAGTAACTCTGCTACTTCCTCCCAGATCAATGAAGATTTTCTGATATTCAACTTTTCTTTCTCTTAAGAAAAAACATAACTATGAGGAAAAAGGGTCTGTCTTCCCTCATTCCCAACAGATTGTCTTATGCACCCCTGTTCTGATATCCACATTCTGGAGGCCATGGACTCAGAGCACTTGCTTTTTACATCAGTCATTCTGACAGTGTACTCCTTATTTAAATATTTCATTACCTCCAATAAAACCGTAAGTGGTTAAAGGCAGAAGTTACATCTGTTTCTCTTGAATCCATGAAAGCACTAAATTTGAAAGCTGAGGAAAGGAGATAGGATCACTAATAGTTAAGGCAGTATTCTCAATCTCAGCACTACAGACATTTTGAAACAGGTAATTCTTTGTTGTATAGGGCTGTCCTGTGCATTGTATAACGTGTAGCAATATCCCTGGGCTCTACGTTCTAGATGCCAATATAGCAAACCCCTCGGTCATGGCATAAGTGCCAGAAGAGTCTCCAGGCATTAGCAAATATTCCCTGGAGGGTAATACTGCCCTGTTTAAGAGTCATTGGGCAAGGTATAGAATAGAGGGCAATAGCTTTCTAAAGAAGGATTGGTGTGAACTAAGCCTTAACAGTTGAGTAAGGGGAGTTGGCATGTGGGCACTACTATGAAAGCACACTGACAAGAAACAGCATTGTGAACAGGGAGATAGCGAAGCGCAAAGCACAAGGACAAAGTGTCCAAACCTGGAAAGGGAGTCACAGGCCAGCCATGAGATTGGATAACCTTCGGTGGAAAGAAAAGCAGTCTGCGTGTGCCACCAGTCAACTATACCTGGTCCCTCTCTTCTCTGCGTTCCCTACTGGTCATATGTTTGCATTTAAAAAACAAAACTTATCATTCTTTTCCTCTGTATTCTCAGCCATTACGCCAATGTTATCCTAGGCATGAATGATTTGACTTTCTCTGCTTCTAGTGTGAAGATTTATTTTTCTAATTGCATTTAAGTTTTCTTGCAATTCAGCTTTTCATTTGATCCTGTTCCTATGCATGTTCTCTCCTTCAAAATTTATGCTTCTCTTTCTTAGGAGCCAAGTTACTTAAATACCAATAAGAATGCCAGTTAACCTCCTGTAGTAGATCATTTTCTCATTTTCCTTCTGAGAAAGAGAGAGAAACAAATGCAAGAGAAGCAATAATAAAAGATAAACTAAATCGTTCTTGAGATTAAGAAGGATACTTATGCAGAATGAAAAGGAAAATCATTTTATAGTCAAAATCAATGAAAATATTCATATCTAAATATATCCTAGCTAAAAATGTAATACTATAAAATTTCTTTGTAACACTAAATGCCAGAAAAAATTGGATAACAGCCACATAATTTTTGAGATAATGCTGTAACCTCAGGTAATCTGCCCTTTATCTATGAAGGCTTTATAAAGAAATTTAGGCCAGGCGTGGTGGCTCACGCCTGTAATCCTAGCACTCTGGGAGGCCAAGGCGGGCGGATTGTTTGAGCTCAGGAGTTCGAAACCAGCCTGAGCAAGAGCGAGACCCCGTCTCTACTAAAAATAGAAAGAAATTAATCGGACAACTAAAAATATATAGAAAAAATTAGCCGGGCATGGTGGCACATGCCTGTAGTCCCAGCTACTCGGGAGGCTGAGGCAGGAGGATTGCTTGAGCCCAGGAGTTTGAGGTTGCTGTGAGCTAGGATGACACCACAGCACTCTAGCCCAGGCAACACAGTAAGACTCTGTCTCAAAAAAAAAAAAAAAAAAAAAAAAGAAAAGAAAAGAAATTTAAAATATGATGGGGCTTAGGACATAAGAAAAAAATGATTTAAATAGATACATCAACATACCAAGAAGAAAGCAAAAAAGAGGCCAGAAATGGAGATATTCTCACATAAAATGACAAAAACGTCATACAAGAACATGTGGTAATTACTGGAAAACACAATGGAAAAACACGTTTTTTTAAAAATGAGGCTGACCTAGATATAGATATCAAAAGGTGTTCATGAGTAAGTAGAAGTTCACTGTGTATTATATGATTACATGCATTTTTTGTATGTTTAAGTGTGTGTGTATGGACTGTAAACATATACATATATTTGTTCTTATACAAAAAGACATTTTTGGAAGGAAATTTAAGAAATTGCTGATAATGGTTACCTCAAGGATTAGAGAGGGTTAAAAAGTTGACAAAAAGGGACTTTTATTTTCACTCTATATCCTCTGTATCATTTGAATTTTTTTCATGAGCATGTTTTTTTTTTTTTTTTTATAAATGGGTCTAAGCTACCAATTTCTCAATTCCTAATGAATACTTTAAAAAAAAACTTTAAAGGACCTTTATTTACCTTATAATATAACCCACCAGGTGGTCGGTGTGTGGCAGTACAAACAAAGACTTTCCTGAGAGCTCACATGCATTGCATAAAGCTGCAGCCCTTTCTGAAGCAATGACATCTTCTCCTGTTGATAACCCCCACAAGGGTAAAGAAAGAAAGAAATTAATGTATTTTTCTAAATAAATATTTCCCCAAGTCTGAAAAATATAATTAGGAATAAAAACCCAAACCACTTTTCACCAGGCCAATAGGACTTCTGGGCTCCTTGGGAACTCCGAGGGGTTCTTAGAATTACACAGTATAGACTTTTTTGGAAAACACTGTCGAATTTTTTACTGAGCCAGGAGAAATGCCAACAGATGTACCATATAAGTATTTGAAACACAAAACTAAAAATGGAAGCAATAATTCATGAAAGGAGGTTCTCACAACCATTTAGGATGCTACAAGTTTCAACGTAGAAACAAAAACATATAGCCTATGAAAGTCTCGGAAGGCAGAAGGAATAAGTATTTGAAACTAAGACATTTTCCTAGAGGAAATTACAAATCCTATAGCATTTTTCTTTGCCCTATAGCAAATTAGTAAAAAAAATATTACATAAGGAATACAATTTCAAATAGAGCTCACATAAGTAAATTACATTCTTTTTAAAAAAAAAAATCAAGCAAATTAACCATTTGCTCAATTAAACATGTCCTCTCACATCCCCTACATGAGGAAATAAGTGAAACTTAGGGAGCAGGACTTAAGAATCTTCATTCTTTACTACTTTTAATTATTTACAATAAGCATTTTTCATGTATTATTGGTACTTTTTAAAGTTAACACACTATCAGCCCCATAACTGAGTGTATAAAAGATTTAAACATTAAAAAAAAATCTACATCCTTATAATAAGAATTGGAGGTATAAAATAATTTTAAAAAAACAAGTAAATAATTAATTAGCCTTTTGATACCTGGGGGCAATGGGGTTTTCTTCTGAATTAGAACCACTGCAACTTTTGTGTTTCTTCCTTGTAAACTTTGCCTGCAATGGGGAAACAATAATAAAATTAATTAAATTATTTTAACTTTAAAAAAAGTATTCATAACTTTACATTAAAATACAAGCTTGAAAATTCAACTGAAAATAAATATCAACTTAAAAAAACTAAGATCAGAGAAAATCTTTTCCTACACACAAATAACGTATATGTCACAATGATTTAAATTCTAAAAGTATAATCTCACATCTTCTAAGCCTCAAAAATTTGCCTTAAAAGCAAAAGTTTAACATATACTTTTGTGCAGAAGTTATAATACAACTTATTTCTTTATAGTGATATATTACAGAGTAGTTATCCAAAAGAATTCATTGTGCTGAAACTGAAAGAGTGACAAAGCAAGTGTTTTATAGGACTAAACAGTAAATTATTATGTCTCGGAAAAAGATTGTAAAGAAAAAACATTTGCAAATCCAGACCAATTTGTCTTCTAAATTTCTTCACATACCCGACATTATATACAGTCAATATTTATGCTGTTAGGAACTGAACAAGATTCATTAGAGGTTAGTGATCCCCCAAGTGACCATTGTAGTCTAAACAGTCCTCAGTTGCCTTCAAGAAATGTTAGTAAATAACAGACATGTGCAAACTAACATGGCCAACCTGAAAAACAGAAGATCATACCTGACTATTTCCACTCTGGTGGCGCACTCAGACTGCTTTTCTTTCCATTGAGGTTCATCCCAGTCCAGTTCATAGAACACAACCACTAGGGCTGGCACCAGATTCAGATGCTTATTCATCCAACCAGTTTTTAAGATCCCTTTAGGAATGTACCACTCATACGAAGTTCTCTGCAAACATTGGCAAAAGTTGAAAAGTTATTTGATAACAGCAGCAGCAGAAACCACCTGTTACTGAGTGCCAGGCACTTTATGTGCATTTGTCTCATTCAATCTATACACCACCCATTTTTATGATTAGGAAATTGAGGCTTACAAAAATTAAACAAGAGCTAACAAGTGTTGGAGGTAGAATCTCAACCCTAGAGTCGCTATACTTTTTCCCATTTAAAAAACTGACCAAAGCCAAAGAGTTTCTAATGATGTCAAGGCTCTCAGATACCTTGTAAAATAAAAAAAAAAGTATCTAGCCTGTTTTCAGGTAAATTCTACTTATATTCCTCACCATTCCAGTTTCTGTTCTTGTAAAACTGCTCAAATAAAATATTATCTAAAATCCAAAATGGTTTTGTTTTGAAGACATATTGCCATAATGGCATTTCACTTCACTTGTGAATGAAGTGAAAAATAAAGGACAGGCCGGGC